ATTCCACACTTAGGCCAGATACAGCAAACACGTGCCTAAAATGCCGAAGTGATTCCGAAGTTCGAGCTGCCTGGGCTGCCGGCCATCTTCTGGTTTAGGGTTTTAGGGTTTTAGGTTTTTAGGGTTTAGGGTTTAGGGTTTAATCAGGGTTAAGAATTCCAATCCGCATCTGCCCGCGAGGACATGATGCTGGAGCCGGATATCAACAGCTTCACTGCGCTCGTCCGGCACTTGGCCCTCTGATCTTCTTCCAGCAACGACACCACTCTGCGGACTTGGGGTCCTATTGAATGTGGGTTTAGGGTTTAGGGTTTAGGGTTTAGGGTTTAGGGTTTAGGGTTTAGGGTTTAGGGTTTAGGGTTTAGGCATGTGCCGTCACAGGCTTCTGTTGAAGACATGGGGTCGGCATGGACTGGGCCTTGAGATGCATGATCCATGGCAGCCACACACAATCGATCAGTAGGCTTGAGCTGTATGAAATAGGCCGAATCGCTGTTGTGCACTGCGGGAGCGCGCCACGGCAACCGATCAAAACCGCGATGCTCTCATGATCAACACATTCAGTGTTCTGGGTACAGGTATATGCTTCGTTTGGTGATAATAGATTTGTTGATGATCTGTAGCACTGTATAGATCCCAATATAGCTCAACTTCATCACATCATTGCTTCGCGGCCAATAAGCCCTTAAACTTGCAGACCCCAAGCCCACTGAAAAGGAAGGACTCGATTCTAACATTGCAGTTCCAGACCCTCCCGGGAGGTTCCAGAAAGTTCTGACTCCGTATTTGGCAGATGGAAAGCTCTTGTTTCAAAGAGCCTTCGAGTCGCGTCGAGGCTGCTTCTCTGGAACGAACAGGACAGTGGCAGCAGATGCTGCATCTTGTGAAGGACGCCTTGCATGCAGGGTTTGGTGGCACAGATGTGGACAGTTGCCCCCACGCGCTTTAAAAAGCCTGGCCTTTTGCACCCATGTCTCAATCGAATTTTGTTCAATCTGCGCCCTTCCCACCTAGTGACTGTGGCCCAAGGATAAGTGGCGCATGTCACATCTTGAGCATCTCCCTTGAACAAACCAAAGATTCACAAAGAAGCGCGCCAAACCTGCTGTAGTTGCAGCTTCGTCCTGCCCCGAGCACACAAGCATCTGACGATTCACCTGGGCGTCTGCAGGAATTGCACCCGAACTGAACCATGAACTTGTGGCAGTTCATGAAGCCCAAAATTCTATTTCGAGCATGCCTGCAACAGATCGGTCGGATCAGCAGAGAGGCGGCCGGGCCCGGGTGGGCCGCCCAAGCGCAAGAGGAACGTCGACAACTGAAGCAGAGACGAAGAAAACGAGCAATGCGTGCGCAAACCGACATATTAAGCGGATAGGAGGTTGCCAAGCGGCGTTTTTTCGCAAAGGGACGCTTGTTTGCCAAGGGGCGCTTGTTCGGTGTCGAGGTGGCTTGCTGTAGTGCGGAGATGCAGCATGAACAAGCGCTGGGAAGGATCGCGCCGCACTGCTCCTGGATTTGATGGTGCATCGGCTCGCCCGTTTCTGAGACCGACCTGCATAAGGCAAACAGGACTGTTGCGTCCTTTTTGCATCACGCTGGAGAGTGTTTACTTAGCACCTTTCCGACCGTATACAACGGTAATTCCTTCACACTTCAACCCAATAGACTCTCGAAGTTCCTGAAGCAGCTTTTTTAAACTCACGAACACAAGTATCCCGACCGAAGTTTGCTGGCTTTGTCCCACATTCAGGATTGCTGGCCCTTCAGCCCCATGGACACACTTGCTACATCGCCAATCGCCGTAATCAAGACGACCTCAACCGACATGACAGGAATCCTAAACCCCAAAGCTTAAAACCCTAAAACCCACGTCCTACTCCTGGCTTTGGCCCCTTGAGCCCGTTGAGGTTGTCCTGGCATGTCAGCGAGGCATCGCTTGGCTTAGGGTTTAGGGTTTAGGGTTTGGGGTTTGGGGTTTAGGGTTTAGGGTTTATTAGGGTTTAGGGTTTAGGGTTTAGGGTTACTGGTTGAGGAGTTAAGGGGGCAGGCCCGTGCCCAAAGGAGTCGCAATACACCCTGAACCTGGAAGGGGAGCAATTCAGCCCCACGTGAGACATAACCACTCGCATGTACATGGTTGTGCTTGTGTGTATGTGCGTATGCTCGTATGTAGGTCGAATGACTCTGATACTGCATCGCAGTATGGTTGTCGTTGCGGCATACCATGATTGTTCAACAGGACCCTCGCGATAGTAAAGCGATCGCTGGTCTGCCTCCGAGGGTCAAGCGTCCAGATGCTTTAACAGGTTCTCCCACTTGCCCCACGAAAGAAATGGGCATTTCCCAAAATTTAGGGGTACCCCTTTTATACCCAGTGTTGCTGTTCTGACCTGAAATCTAGAGACTTGTACTTGACAGTCGGGCAATGCAAAGGCGGCCTTTCGTGGCCCATTCTTAGGGTTTGTGCTGAAGAGTGTTAGGAAGCAATTTGAAAGCCGCTTGGACACGTTCAGGCAATCAGTGGCAGCTGTCCCAGAAACTGATCTCGCACATGGAGGAGGCACGGCAAGATCCAGGCCGGAACCGCTGCGTGGGCTACGTGAGAGTTTCTGGTTTTGTGGTCAGGGCATCGAACTTTCGCTGCACAGAATCATCCCGTGCAAGGTCTCGTATCTGAGGTTTGGAGGCTACTGACATCAGAACCCACCTTAATGAATCACGGCACCCGAGCATCAGAGACCATGGTCTCCTCAAGATCGCGTGCCTGACATGCCCAACAGCCGACTCGACAGCGAGCTGAGCCCCGGATTAGGTGCTCATGTCAGAGCAGCGGCTGTTGAGCGCACATCGAAGGAGCATCCCCAAGAGGCAGTCGGCTTGGGATTCAGACCTTAGGGCTTTTAGGGTTTGAGTTTGAGGAGTTTGGGCAAGAAACTTGGAGAGGGTCAACACCAGGGGGTTGAACATTGCGCTCTCACCTAAGCCTAAGCGGGGCGCGGCCGTGCTCGCCATCGTCGAAACCATCATAGCTTTGGATTTCTGGGCTCTCGACATGCGAAACTGTCGTTGCCTTCAGACATCTGGAGTATTATGGGGAGGAGGGGGATGTTTATTCCGTAGATGATATGGCAATTTAGACATATTCATGTTTACACACACTTGCGTATTACACCTACTGGTCGAGACCTATTTATGCAACTGTACATACAATTAAGAACGCAATACAATGTACTACATCCATTGTATACATATACATCATATACATATGCACATACGCATACACATGCACATACACATACATCGATACATACTTTACATATATAAAGACTCTGTCTCCAAGAACAGGCACCTGGAAGCACAAATGAACTCTGTAATGCCTGCTGATGTGTCGAAGGCACTGTGCCAGCTGGAGGCGGGCAATGAGCTAAATGTTCCTCACCACTCTAATCGCTTCCCCCTAATACTAAAACCCCCCCTAGTTTCACATATTAATTTTCCCGGGCCTGCCGGCACCCAGCCCAATACTAAACCTTTTTTGAGAACTAGGGGGGGAGGGGTTCAGGGCCTTCGCCCTTGAGTTGAGCCATTAGGGTTTCAGTGTTTAGGGCTGAAGGCTGACAGGATTAGGATCCAGGGCTCAGGGCTTAGAGGGTTTAATTATTAGGTTTCGGAATTCAGGTTTTAGGATTTAGACCCCCCCCCCCCCCCCCTAATTTTAAACATTTTTCGGGCCCAGGCGAATTTCAGAATTAGGGGAGGGGGGGGGAGGGATTTAGCATTAGGGGGAAGGGATTGCTTCGGTGACGAGTCATAGCAGGGTATTGGTTACCTTTTGAGGGTCAAGCTGCGGTTCTAGGGCTCATGTCGGTTTCATTCGATCCACGCTTGCAGCATTCAACACGCATTGACGGAGCCAACAGAAACCCTGGCTGGTTTGCTGTCAAGTTTGCGAGGGACCCAGGGAATTGGCAACACGTTTTGAAAGCAGTCAGAATGAGGCACTGGCGGCGCCGCCGTTCTCCCCATCAAGTACTTCTCACCATCAAGTACTTTCTATCTGTATTCGGCACTTGAAATGCGGGGGTGCCTCATGTACAGGTAATTAGGGTTTGTTGGAATCGTCAGATTTTCGGGAATTGACCAGCATTCACTTCGAAAACGATCCTTCAAGTCACGCCGAACGGCTCACCAAACCAGACAGCTGCTACCATCAAACCCCTTCAGCCTTCAGATGTCTAAAGGTCAGGCCCCAACCGACTAACTCACACCTCAACCCTATCTACTAGCAGTTTCATCTTGCTCGGATTTGGAACTTGAAGGGCCCTCGGATTCTGTTCGAGGAAAGTTGGCCAGGAGAAACAAAAATGCCACGAACGTCTGGGAGGCCAAAACTTGTCGTGAAAGTTGACTGCAGGAGAAGTTCGCGAGACTCGCCCCCAGCTGCCAATCGTTGTGGCCTTTCCTTACATTGACGCTTTTGAGGCACCCAAGCTCAGTAGAATCCGCATTTTCGCAATGTCGCAGACCCGTGGCTGCTGGCCTGCAGCGTCGAAGAAGTCGGGGCGGATGTCGGAGCTTCAGCAGCGTGTCCAGAAAGTGGTTGTCATTCTATATACCTTGGTGCGCATGGCCGTCAATTTGTACTTTTCCAAGCTTGTGCTTCTTCGTTTGCCTTCTGGGGTGCCCTTGATAGAGAAAGAGTCGCAACAACGGTGGCGAGGATTCGGACCTGAAAAAGATTTTTGGTTACCTTGGTTTCTTTGCAGCAGCTGGCCAAAAGCGAAGGAAGCTTCTGCTTTGTGTGTGGAGATATCGGGAAGACATTTGACACAAGAATCCTGCAGACTGACCGTGGATTACCAGATCCTAGCAGGTTGTTTCGTGATGCCGTTGGTTCCCGCCCTCGGAGCATACATCTTCCTCAGCAGATCTGACCGGCTTGCTGAGGACTCGCGACTCCATGTGTGGAGTCGCCGCCACATTTTTTTTTGGCAGCGATGTTCTGTCTTGACCCTGGCTTTACCCCTGTCGAATTTCACACCTTATCGTACTACACATTTTTGGCTTGCGAGGTTCTCTCCAATGGCATGCAAGCGATATGTACCAATATGAAGCTGCGATGTCTATCATGGGACCGCATCGCCAAGTGTTGTGAAGTGCTTATGGTGATCTTTGTTTGCATGGCTTCTGTCATCCTTGTGCTATACACCACGGTGCTTGCCTACTTGCCAGGACATACTACTTATTCTGTGATTTGTTTCCTCATTCTCCTGCCGATATGTGGTGCCATTATTGGTTTCCAATTTTGGGCCTTTTGCTGCGCCATTTCCCAGGCCAAGGCACACTATCTGGACAACTGGGAAGATGTTCGCTCGACAGTCCTTCTGTTACGCATCAATGCCTTACTGACGCTGATTGGGCCCCTGATCTCAGGTGTTGCAATTGCATGTGTGGCGAACGAGATCTTTTCACGAAACACAAACATCACCCGGCTTGCTGGTTCTGAACTGCTGGTTGCTTTTGAGTTCGGTCTTCAAATCTTCAACTCACTTGTGCTATGCGGAATGGTTGGTCCATGGAGTAGGCCTACCGAGGCTTTCACTGAGCTTGCTACACGTGGCTTTGTGGTTGCCAAGCGCGTGCCGTTTAAAGGAATAATCAACCCTGAAGCTTGCGGCTGCATTGCCTCCTTCCCTGGAAAATACGCTGAGCGGTGGGTTGAAGCTGTAGCTGAGGCAACACAGTCAAAGGATTGCTCTGTTGCCTGTGTGTTCCTCACTGATGCAGCGTCAGGACTTGGAATGCACGCGCGCAATCCTGAAACAGATGAGTGCTGGTGCAAGGCTCTGTATGGTGACGTGCCTGCCGAAGCATACCTCAGCATTGTGGACAAGCACGACAAGGACCTTCTCTTCAGAAGGGCTGATGCAGAAGCCATGGGTCAACATTTGCTCATCAAAGACTCCAGTCTCAGCCAGCTTGAATGGGACACCAAGAAGGAAGCAGCAATGTCCCTGGTAGAGAAGATGTCTCGAAATAACAATCGTCGAGCCCCCTGGGGCTGCCAATGGTTTGAAGAATGGATGAAAAACATTGAAGCAGCCTCAGTGCAGAATCAACAGCTGCACGTCTTCTATTTTGAGAACTCAGTTGGGCAAGGCAAAGTTTCATGGTCCGAGCTTTCAAACAAAGATGCCATCGAAGCGGCTCGAAAGTCCACAGGCCTCGGGGCTTCCCAAACGGCGGAGGTGGCCTACCTCGACAAGCTGGGTTTGCCGTATGTCGAGCATGATGTGATGGACTTTCCTGAAGTCATAGCACGATTGAGAAGGAGGTCGCTGTGAGGTTGTACAGAGCGTTTTTGAAGGAGAAGAAGCAGAGAGTCCTATCAAGTTGCTCCAGAGGTTGGGAGCTGCGAAGAAGCAAAGCTTGAGATGCGACAGCTGCAGGAGCAAGTGCCACAGATTTTCCCAAACGTGGTTTTTCCGTGTGCCCCAGTTTCACTGGAGCCGCAGTACCACAGATACGGATCTAAGGAGACGCTGTAGGGGCCAAAATAATTACCTGTGTTATTCTGGGGGTTCCTTAATATATTTACGGTATTAAGGCCCCTAGAGTAGTTTCGAGTAGGCTAAGCCTCTGGTAGACACGCGTTTTGGCAAGGACCAGAAACAGCCCGGTGCGCTTTGTTAAACATATTTCAGCGGAGACCGATGCCACAGAGCCCCGAAGATCTCAGGCCCTGACACCCCCAGACCCAAACAGCCCGAAAAGCCCATTGGAGAAGCGCCAGGCCATTGGTTTGATGGTTTGAGATTTGCTACTACTCCTTCTGCTACAATTGCAACTACAATTATTGACATCAAGAAGAACGTTGGTAAAAAAAAACAGAACATTGCACACGACGGCGGCTACTACTACGGCTACTACTACTACTACTACTACTACTACTACTACTACTACTACTACTACTACTACTACTACTACTACTACTACTACTACTACTACTACTACTACTACTACTACTACTACTAGGAAGGGGTGGAAGGGCAAGTGGTTGGGCAGGGTGTTGGAAAGCCCAGTTTTGAATTCAGCTTTTCTTTATCAGCTTTGCAGTATCCGTGCTTTGAGGGCGAGGAGGATACTTAGCTGTTCTTAGTTTCAAGTGGTTTGCAAACGTGTACGGATACTGAAAAGTTGTCCTTCATGGTGAGCTTTGGCGTAGCGCATGCTGCCTCCTGTCGAAGCTGTAGTTTGTGCACGTCGGGGCTTGCTATATTCCTGACGCACAGCCGCTGAACCTTCAAAACTCCACCGCTCGCTCCTAACCCGTTTGCCCACCATGCTTCAAACAAAAGCGTGGCCCTGTGCCTCAGGCGATGAGCCGTTCCTGCGTCGCATGCTCAGGGAAGTGTGCTGGTATAGCAGCAACAACTATGCACAGCCTCCTAAGCTTCCGACGGCATAGGGGGCCAACCAAAAACCCACCCGTGTAACCTCTGTTGCCAGTGACTTCATCAAATTTCTGTTTTCCATGTTATGCGAAGGTAACCAAGTCAAGACCTTCCAGCAAGATCACCTCCCATCTTTCTCAGGTAGCTTCCTTGAGTGGAGCAGACTAGTGAGTTGGGCAGAGCAGACACAGTAGCGCCAGGCAGAAGTGCGGGCAGGTCACAGGCGTGCCTTGCCATAGATGGGTTGTGTGGCTTGATCACCTGTGCGTAGAGTTCTCGCACCCATGCCTGCATAGATCTTGCCAAAGCTGCATCCTTTATGCCGTGCGTCTCGTGGGTGCACAAAGAATGCGAGTTGTTTCTGCTTTGTTCTGTGCAGCCTGAGTTGAAAGTAGTAAAGCTACCTCACCGCAGCATGAAGCTGGAGTAGCCGCTAGACCCAAACCATATTCTGTGTCTTCGGTATATCCCGGACCTTGCCAGGTTCCATCCTAGCCCGGTCACGTCGTGGTAGTCCCCGTCTGCATCTTGCTTACCGTACAGTGCCCGTAAATAGATCTCCAAAGGCACAATCGGTCCAGAGACGCTTAGTGTCGAATAGTCACACACAGGACACAGCCCTATGGAGCCCAGCCCGGAGCGCTAAGCCCAAGTTACCTAAGTTACCTCAGAGATACCTAAGCTACCTTAAGTTACTTAAGTTACCTGAGCTTTTATCGCTCCCTGAAGGTCTTGTCAGTCTGCGGCCTACACAGTCCACCTTACTCACTTTATTGTTCCCTGCGAACCCTTAAATACGTGCCCTAAAACGTAGGTGGGATAAGGGGGACCCTTAAAAGGGAACCCCTTCTGAACCCTCTTCTGGCTCTCTTAAACAGGGACCTTATTCAGAGGGTCTTTTTCCCCAAGGGTCCCCCTAATCCTATCCCCTACTAAAACGTATAGACCCACACGAAGACTCTTGTCCCGATGAGTGCTTCGCCTCCTTGCGCGCGGAGTGCCCATGGGCCGCGCTTGCGAGCCAGGCGCTGGGAGTCACTCCTAGGGGCTCCCTCCGCAAGAAAACGGAAACTCAATTGGGGGTGGGGGTGGGGGGGCCTCTTTCGGAGCTGCGATGAGCTGCTGGAAGGGTTTCCATATGTTTCGAGTCTTTTACGTTTTTAGGGCTTCTGGTGCAGGCGGCACAGTGGGATGTCGCAAGATGTCGCAAGTGATGTTCAGACGTGTTGGATACGCCTTGTCAAGAATGCCTGCGTTGTTCTTCCAGCAGGTATCGCGTTTGGTTGAGGTAACGCATTTGGTACAGGCATGGCAGCAGTCTTGTGCTTATGCATTTTGTGGGCACGTGTGTCGGTTGAGATTCCTCAAGACTGAGGAGTGTACGAGCAGACTTGAGAAGAATTGAGCAGTTTGCCGGAGCAAGGTCCGACTCGAGCAGACAGCAGATGGCTCACCGTATGTCCTCACGAGTGTCCTATATCCCCCTTGGGGAATTATTTTGTAGTTTTGTTCATATAAATCCCAAGAGGATTTTAAACACATTATCTTTAATAAGGTTCTATGGGAGTACAGTGTCGGTTTCTTTAGCTCAGCCAGGCTCAGGCTGAGCGAAGACCTTTGTTGTTCTGAGACAGGCTTCATCGAAAGGCTGTAGTTCTTCAGAGGTGTGCCTTGAACGACATTCTGGTGACACGCCCAAGCTCACTGACATAGGAAACTCCCAACCCGGCAGCCCTCCAAGCCTTGCACAACAAGAAGCCCTGTAAGCGGCATCGACCGCTCCGTCGTGGAGTCGGGGAGGGAGTGGGGGGAGATTTAGGGTCCAGCCTGACAATTCGCCTTACAGACCTAAACCCTAAACCCCAAACCCGAAACCCTAAACCCTAAACCGGGTCTAGGAGTTGAAAGGCAGCCCATGGGAGCCAGCTCAAGGTGTGCCACACGCAAACACCCAATGTCCCAGCAAGCATGTCAGCTTGGGGTGTACCAGGATGGGCTCTTTGGGCCCCAAATGAACCCTATAAAGGGCCTTTTAAAGGGATTATAGGGTAGAGTAACCCATCCTGGTATTTTGACCTAACCCCTATGCGCTATAGACTCTGCCCTGCATTGTGGACCCCAGCTGCCCCGAACGCCAGTCTCCAAGAGACAGAAGCGATGGCAAGGCTTTTGTTCCGGGCTTCTAGTGATTCCAGTGTGTGGCCGGAACATGCGGGATTTCTGGATCTGGGGCTTCAGGCTTGAGGCTTAGTGTGCACTGACATCCCACGCAAAAACGCTCCCTTTGTGCGCAGACAAGCCCGTCGCCGAGCAGCTGCGCTTGAAGAGAAGGCTCGACTCATACAACGGGCATGCAAAGTCAGCGAGTGTCCCAGAACGCATTTTGGAGCGCTACTGGTATGACAATTCTCATCTCCGCGAACGGAACTAAGCTCAACTTTGATAAGAGGTTTAGGGATTTCCGGAGCATGATTGGAACACATTGGAACAACAGACGGACCTCGAGCGAAGTGCCACAACAAAAGCCGACAGTTGTTTGATGCTTGCCTTTTGCACACCTGTTCTGATCTCAGTAGCTGTATTGCATTCAGCTTAAGCTTGCGAAATGTGAAGCCTTGGGCACTAACTGCGAACCCTGATTTGTAGTGGGTTTGCCGGCAAGCTCCTATATGGGTCTCTCGGCTAAACTGCGGTGGCCATGCGCAAGGAACACGCGGAGGACTTTTGGGCTCAGTGCCTGACGAAACGGAGCAGTGCTGATTGAACCTTTGAAGCTTTAAAGCCTCCAGCACCTACCAACTCAAGCCTCAACCACACGTTCTGACCCCTGGCAGTTCGCGCGCGCTCGCCCGCTTTTCCGTTTCAACTGCAATCATTCGACTTCTCTCTCCAAACCTGGCGACAAGTAGTACTCCTTCTGGTGGCGCACAGCGACTACAGTCATGAAGTTACTGACGTTGCTACTTGTGCCACTAGCAACCCTAAATGATCCCAAATGGGATGCTCGTGGTACCAGGGCACCCATCCCCCCCCCCCTCTCCCCCAAAGGCACCCAGGGCCCCCCCCCCCCCCCCCCCCCCCAAACCCCAGAGGCAGAAACAAGCGCCACAAGGTCTTGAAGACTTGTCACCTTGTGAGCCCCCAGAACCGACGGCGTCACTGCTCTCGGTCGTGCCTTGCGCTGGCAGCGTGCCCTGCAGCTGGTGCTGGAAGGCGAAACCGAGTGGTCAATAGGATAGTTGCTTCGTTGCTACGATTCTTTGCAGAGGGGGCACTATGAAGCAGCATACGATTCAGTCTTGCACTAGATGTACATTCCGACACGACTACTTGTGGCTAGCAAAGGCTTGAGTGAGGCTGTGCAGGCTTGTCCCTCAGCACTCGTCCCCCCGCTCCCCACAATCTTTCTAGCGTGCCATGTGTCCAGCAAGGACATTCTTGATCATGTGTGCTGCTGCTATACCGTGCATCCAAGCCCAGCCTAAATTTTGCACACTTACATTCCCCACTCACCCTCGCATAGCTTTGCGTCCGCAAGGAGCCAAGTATCAAGATAAGTGTTTGTGACTAGGCAGTCACGACGCCTCACACAAGGCAGCAGGAGTGGTCTGTCTTCATTATGGGAGGTCTTTCAGGCTGCAAGGCATCAACTATCCAGCTATCGTTCATGTGATATCATGTTTGCCATGTTTGCCTTTCCTGGAGATATACTGAGGGTTCATGTGAGAGAGCAGCCGACATGAGTGACATGATGAGAGCAAACCCTAAATCCTACACCCTAAACCCTAAACCCTAAACCCATGTCACGCAGAATCCACGCCGGACATCTTCCTCTACAATGCGGGTGTGACGTCTCTCGGCCGGGCGTCCCGTGGCACCCAGGCTCGCCC